AATTTTTATTCAGGAATTGATCAAAGGCTGGGGAGGGGGACATTAGCCATACCAGCACATGGCATAGCTCAGGAATTCAAAGGGCTAAACCCTGGGCAATATTTGTGCATGAAAGGGGAGAGTCATTGGGGTGGGAGACGACTAGGTGAAGCTCCCCAATATATTATTGAACTGGCCGTGCGCTGCAAGATTGCTAGTTTGTTACAGCATCGAGTCATCGAGTGAACGAACTAAGCGTAGTTTAGATAATTAGTTTCTTGTGATGGAACCAGCTCACTAGGGTTCAAGTTCTAAACTTGACACTTGTGCTCGCTCGGTCTATGGATTGCTCTTTCCTTTCCTGTACAATGGTTGCACCGGTCCGGTTTTAATTATTTATTTTTGGTTTTATATTTTACTTTTTCTTTGGTTTCTTCGGGTTTTTCACTGATTTTCTTCAGTTTTTCTATTTTCTTCGTTACAAATTTGGTTTTCTTTTGTTTTTCACCCTTTTCTTTCATTTTTCTTTCTTTCTTCATTATACTTTGGTTTCCTTTGTTTATTTCTTTGTTTTTTCACTTTTTTTTTATTTTTTTTATTTGTTTTTCTATTCTCTTTTCTGTTCAATACGTGTTAACTTTTTTCAGTATACATTCAATATTTTTTGTATACATCTGATTTTTTTATATGAGTTAACCATTTTTTAAATAAATGATTAACATCTTACACATTGTATTTTTTCATACATGTTTACATTTTTCAAATAAAATATTTAAATTTTTTAATACATGGTCAACATTTTTTCTGTACACATTAATTTTTTTTCAAATGGTTGATTAACATTTTTCGAATATAAGATTAATATTTTTTATTACATGGTCAACATTTTTTCCATACATATTTTTAATTTTAAATGATTGATTAGCATTTTTTTCAAATACAAGATTCACATTTTATGAATACATGGTCAACATTTTTTCTATACAAAATTTTCAAATGCATGATTAACACTTTTCAAAACACAAGATACATATTTTTTTCAAATGCTTGATTAACGTTTTCTAAATACATGATAACTTTTTCATATACATTGTATATTTTTTGTATACATGATGAACATTTTTATTTTAACATTTAACATTTTTCAAAAGTTTGGTTAACATTTTTTCAATTTTTATTATTTTATATCATTTTTAATTAATTTATTTAGAGCATTTGGAAGTATAAACAAAACAAAACAAACAAACAAACAAACCAACAAACAAAAAGCATAGACTGTGGCCTCCCGCGCGCCTGGGCCGGCCCATCTTGTGCCTCCCCTCTCATGCGGGGCTTCACTCGGTCTCGCTAGAAGCGAGGTATAGCAGCGCCCACTGCACAGGCGAAAGTGCTCTTATCGCATGTACTGATATATAATATGGCTCTCCTACAGTCTCTACAGTACCGGGCCGGACCATTTTTAGCGTGTTCGTGCGTTTGTTCCCTCGCACGTTGTCGCGGGCACATTCGCTTTGCCCCGATCGCTCGGTTGAGTTGTTCTTTTTTTTTAGTTTTAATTTTCTATTTTAGTTTTCTTTTGTTTTATTTTATTTTCTTCATTTTTATTTGTGTCTTTTCATGGTTTTTTTTCAGTCTATATTCTTATGAATGTTTTTCCGACAAAAAAATACTTTTCCAGAACTTCAAATATATTTTACCCACTTGTACATTTTTTAAATTATATTTGGATCACGTTGTAATTTTCATATAGTTCAAATACATTTTATATACATGTTTCACATTTTTCACGGATAATATAAACAAATTATTTAATTTTTATAGTATATTTCAAAATTGCAAAATCTAAACAAATTTGAAGATAAAGTAAGAAAATATGAATAAAAACGGAAGAAAAAAAAAGTAGCATGTCGTCAGTAGGTGAGCCATGGCTACTAGGCCGACCCAATACATGCTCCTGTGCAAATGAGCCGTGGTAGGGCTCTCATTGGACGGACAAGCAAGAACCGGCTCCTAGAATGGCGGAGTGGATCCCTCCTCCAGAATATCACATGAAAGTCAATGTCGATGCAGCGGTTGCCAGACATGGGGGCTTCGGGACAGCAGCAGCAATTTGCCGAGATGGCAGTGGGGAGTTTCAAGGGGCGTTAGTGACCCGTTTCAATAACATCGATGATCCTAAAACGTTGGAGACTTTGGCAATACGTGAAGCTCTGGCCCTCGCGGATGACTTGCTCTTCCACAGGATTTCAGTGGCGTCTGATTGTAAGATGGTTGTTGATGCGATCAAGCAAGGCACGTGTGCACAATATGGGGCAGTGGTACATGAAATCATAGACCGGTCTAGAGTTTTTTCTTCGTGTTTAATTAGTCATGAATTTAGAACCTCGAATGTTGAGGCTCACAAATTAGCAAAGCATGCATTATCCCTGGGTTTTGGCCGTCATGTCTGGTTAGGTCACCCAGAAAACTTGGATTTCGTCCCTGTAAATATTGTGACGGGTGAATAAAAGCTTTGCGAGTTTGTCTCAAAAAAAAAGGGGGCTCTCATTGGGTGGCACATAGCCGCGCCGTTGCACAACACCCACAACACTGATGCTATTTTTTGGTTTAAAATCAGCAGCAACCCATGCTGCCCTAATTTGAGATTTCTCAGGTATTCCATTTTAGCTGGGAATTGTCTCGCCTTTATTTAAGTCTCAGATATCTTTGAGTTCAGTGCAGAGCTAATACATTCCAGTGCTACCCTAATGTGTACACGACTTACATAGCTTAATGAGTTCAGTGCAGAGCTAAACCACGTCTTACATAGCTTATCGTGCACCCTTCCCTAGCGATACAATTACCTGACTAATGTGTACACGACGTGACTCGGTCTATCTTATGTCAAAGCAAAGTAAAAGAAAAACTTAAGGTAGCCAAACACAGCCGCCGCCTCGTCTTCCAGGAAAATAAGCTTAGGGCTCCTCTGCCTTCCGTCGACGCCATCGCTGGACCGCCTCGTCTCCGGTGGCCCTGCGGGCATGGAGGCGCGGTGGTTGGTGGAACCTGGCCCTTGTAGGTGGGAGGGGTCTTGCTTCGGTTTTTGGTGGGTTTTTGTCCTGCTTAGCAAAACGAGAGGTGGCAACTCTCTAAGGATGGAGTGAGGATCTTTCTACCTAGTCCTCATTTTAGGGATGCGTCTAGCGTCGTCAGAGGACGCGTGGAGGTGTGTCTTTGATAGATCTCGTAGGATTCGATCAGTGGTCTTGGTGGATCTGCTTGGAGCTTATTTTTGTTTGTGTGTCTACATGTTGTACTCTTTCAATCTATATTCCTCTTCATTGACGGCGGTTGATGTTCTTGTATGCTGGTCCTGTAGGGCCCTAGTATGATGACTTTTCAACTGTCCACTACAACAAGTTTGGTCCGGTTGTGGTAAGGGAGGGGCTATGACGGCGACACGTCTTCGGCTCGCTCTAGTGCTTGCGGTCGTCGAGATTGTTTATGGACATAGCTATAATTTTTTGTCATTTTTGCGTTCTTTGTATGTCATAATTAATAGATTGAAAGTTTTTTCACAAAAAAAGTTAGCTGACTATTGACTGGCCTCGTACAGTGCAAGACATTTAGG